ACTAAGAATATTATAGCACAAAGTGTATGAATAATGAATTTGTGAGCCCAGAATCTTTCACGTTGTTCTTGCTTCTTTTGAATTTGTTCAGTTCTATTCAAAACTTCAGTTATTCAATCTTTCAGTGTTTCAGCAATTTTGCATTTTTGCGTTAAGCGTTAGTTGGCTTGCAATTAATGTTCTTCTATATATAGCATGACGAAACATGACCGTTGCTGCCTTCAAATGGAGAGCATTAAATGTTTGTGTGTTTCCTTGCACTATTCCATTTTCCAATGCACTAGCGTAGACACTTGAGTGCATGTAGCCGTCTTTGCATTAAATGAGCAAACGACACTATGTAAGAACATGTTTCCTGAAGCTTGACAAGACTTGTTAGCTTTTGCATTCTTTCTGAACTTGGCTTCACGTCTTGAATTCAGAACATGCTTGCATATCTTCTAAACAATGCCTTGCTTGCTAAGTACTTCTGATCAGTGTTTGCTTTCAAATATCTTCTGAACATCACTTGCTTTCAAATATCTTCTGAACAACACTTGCTTTCTAAGATCTTTTGAACATCACTTGCTTTCAAATATCTTATGAACAACACTTGCTTTCAAATATCTTCTGAACAGCACTTGCTTTCAAGAATCTTCTGAACAACACTTGCTTTCAAGAAACTTCTGAAACAGCTTACACAGAAACTTGCTAAGCGTTAGAAGATGTAATTAAATAATTATATCACCAGAGTCAGCATTAGCACTTGCGCTAAAACAAATGGTTCTTCCATCAAAAGAACTTCTTCATTTATTTTCAGCTCAGCACATCAAGATGCTTTTGTCAGAATATTATCAGAGACAGCATCAGCATCAGCACTTGCGCTTAAAATGGTTCTTTCATCAAAGAACTTCTTCATTTATTTTTAGCTCAGCACTTCAAGATGCTTCTGTCAGAACATTATCTGAAACAGTTAAATACGTACATCAGAGTATCAATTATATAAAATATAATTTATTGTTATCATCAAAACACTGAGATATGATCAGAACTAATCTTGTTCTAACAGCCTTCAATTGAGCCACTACTTGCCTTAGTAGCTTGATCTGAAACTCTTCAACTAACCCAACCAAAAGCTCTTTTCTGGCCAGTCGAAGCTTCTTTTGTCATGATTGTGATTATGCAGAAGGCTTGGGCCCGGTAGTATGCAAGACTTTGGCCAGCAAGCAAAATTTGTTTCCAACCATTGTATGTCTTTCGACTGGACCAAATGCATGTCTTTCGAAGGCATCATTAGGTGTTGAAAGGTGGAAAACTGTGTGTTAAGGATTTTAGTTGTGGAATTGGAATCGTCTCAAAGGGAGCCATCGCCCAGTCGAAACTAGCATAAAAAAGCCCATGCCTTGTGGATGCTAGCATGAGGAAGGCCAAAGCAAGCATAAAAGAGGCCATTGCCTAGTGAATCGAATTAGACACGAAGGAGGTATTTTCCTTGTGGGTCAAAGGAAGCTTTTTGCCTAATGGATTGAAGGCAGATCTGAAGAAGTCTTGGCCTTATGCTGAAGGCATGCACAGGGAAAGTCATTTCCTTGTCAATCGAATCAGGCATGAAACAACCCATGCTCAGTCGAAGTCTTGTGAACTAAGCTTGTATTGAAGGATTTTGGACATCCGATTGAAACTCCTTATCCAGATGCCAATCAAAGGACAACCTGCTCAGATGCCAATGGAAGACACCTTGTCCCAATGCCAATGGAAGACACCTTGTCCCAATTCCAAATCGAAGATGCCTTGTTTATCTTCAAAATTCTTATTTTTTTAAGCAAGTGTTTGTAATCAGCCATGTAAGATAAAATCTTGGAAAAACATGAGAGGGCAAATTTTGGGGTACAACACACAAGAACAAGAACTGAGTCAACTAGGCTGATTGGATATGAGAGGTTTCTAGATCAAGCAGTCGATGTAGATGGTGACTTTATCAAAGAAGCCATGATGATGGCTGGAGAAAAACCAATTGATTTGGGTGAAGCCTTGAGCAATTCGAATTGGTGTGAAGCCATGAAAGAAGAACTTAGAGCCATTGAGAAGAATAAGACTTGGGAGCTTGTCGAAAGAACCAACAAGAAACCAATCGATGTGAAATGGATCTACAAGGAGAAACGAAGGCCAAATGGTGAGATTGCAAAGTATAAGGCAAGACTGGTGGCCAGAGGTTTTCTACAAAAACCTAGTATTGACTTTGATTAAGTATATGCGCCTATTGCGAGGATTAAAACAATCAAGATTGTTGTTTCAATAGCTGCATGCAGAGGATGGAAAATGCACCAACTTGATGTGAAGTCATCATTTTTGAATGGCCCATTGGAAGAAGAAGTCTACGTTACCCAACCACCAGGTTTCGACGTCAAAGGGCAGGAGTCAAAAGTTTACAGATTAAGGAAGACTCTCCATGGCTTAAAGCAAGCTCCTAGAGCTTGGAATAAAAGGATAGATAGCTTCCTAATTGAAGCAGGTTTCACAAAGTGTGTCTCTGAACATGGAGTGTATGTAAATGATGTTGAAAGTGTCAATCAAATCATTTTATGCCTCTATGTTGATGACTTACTCATTACAGGAGCATACGAAGCTGAGATAGTGAATGTAAAGTCGAAGTTAATGCAAGAATTCGAAATTTCTGATTTAGGGAATCTCTCCTACTTCCTGGGAATGGAATTCAAATACATCGAAGAAGGAGTTTTCTTGCATCAAACAAAGTATGCTTAAGATATATTGAAGAGATTCAATATGAGCAACTGTAAGGCCGCTGTTACTCCATTAGAGACTGGAGCAAAGCTGAAAAAGGAATTGAATGATGAGTTTGTAAGTTCGACCCTTTACAAACAAATCATTGGATCCTTGAGGTATCTTTGCAACACTAGACCAGATATCTGCCAAAGTGTAGGATTGTTTAGCAGATTTATTGAGAAGCCTCAAGAATTTCATCTCATTGCAGAGAAGAGGGTGTTGAGATACATAAAGGAAACTATTGATCATGGTGTGTTGTTAGCAAAGAAGTCGAAGAACAACTCAGATGTCGAAGTTCATGGATACACTGGCTCAGACTTCAGTGGAGATCAAGACGAAAAGAAGAGTATTGCAGGCTACACTTTCATGATCAAAGGAGCTCCAATCTCCTGGAGTTCGAGGAAGCAAAGCATTATGGTTTTGTCATTATGCGAAGCAGAATATATGATTGCATCATATGCTGCATGTCAAGCAGCATGAATCGAAATGCTACTTTAGTAACTCAGAATAATAGAGTCAAAGATGAAGTTGTTTGTTGATAACAAGTCATCTATAAACCTTGTGAATCACCCAGTGTGTCATGGTCGAAGTAAGCACATTGAAAGAAGGTATTATTTTCTGAGGGATCAAGTCAACAAAGGGAAGCTTGAAATAAAACATTTCAAGACAGAAGTGCAGCTAGCTGACATATTCACCAAACCTCTGAAGAAAGTGAGGTTCGAAGAGTTAAAGAAAGGCATTGGGATGAGAAGTCTTGATAACATGAATTAAGGGGGGTGTTAGTTGGTTAATTCTTGTTATGTAGTTATTTAGGCTTTTAGCATGTATTTGGACTTGGGTTATTTTGCATATATAAAGGGTCATTGTGTTTGTAATAGCAGTGCAGTAGCAACAATATTAAAAAATTAGTTAAATAGTTAGTTACGATTAACTAACTCATCAATCTATCTCTCTCTTCTTCTTATTCTTCTTGTTTTCACAAAAATCATCTTTCTTGAATCCTTTGTTCCAACAGAGAGTTCACTTCACCCTCAATGTCATCATCTTCATCTTTTTCAAACGAATCTTCAACAACATAAAGTAGTAAATTCTCCGAATCAGAGTCAATACCTAAATAAAAAAATGGTAAATCTTCTTCCATTGTTATGAAGAAAAAAGAACGAATACCATTATGATTACAAAGCTACACAGTGCCTCATTCTTTATAAAAAAAAATTGCCAATAGAAATTTACTACACCATCCACTTTTCAAAGAAAAGTGGCCAATCATGTTAATGGTCAATATTAAAAACTGAAGTATATTAATGCTAGGAGTAGCAATCCACAATTTTCAATTTTTTCCATGTTTCTAGCAATTTAATATTAACTGCATATAAAAAATTGAGTCAATTAATGCTAGGGGTATATTTGGTATAATATCATTAATTATGACATAAAAATCATTTTTTCTTATATTTTGTTACAATCAAAATGATGAAATCTATAATATAAGGAAACTCATTCTACACAAAAAGTCTATTTTGTCATTTTTTTCCAAAAACACAACACGTGGATACCTTCTTTGGTCTCTATTTCAGATTTTCATATTTGTTTTCACAAATTCTTGGTCCACTTCCAATGGTGGTTACGAAATTGAAAATTCTCTTCAATTATTTTTCCTATGTTCGTCGACAGTTTCACAATTCAAGTGTGTCACGGTTTCACAAACGCTTTGTATTCCATATTCCACATTAAAAATTATCTCTCTTCCTCTTATTCTTTCTTCTCTCTTCCTCTATCAGTCTCTACCTCTTCCTTTCTTCTCTCTTTCATTGCCTCTCTCTTCCTCTTCTTTCTTCTCTCTTCCGTCTCTCTCTCTTCTTCTTCTTCTTCTTCTTCTTCTTCTTTCTTCTCTATTCTTTTCTTAAACAAATATGTTATTCTTATATATTTAGATTTATGGAACTCCGACAATTTTACGACGGTAGGCGGTTTGGCAGTGATAGATATGTGGTGGCGAAAATGTTTCTGGGGACGAGTGTGGTGGTGGTTGGATACAAAATGGTTTATGTCTGACTTTTTAATTTTATGTTTTGTTATTAACTTATTCTCTTTTATTTTATATGTTTAGGTGTTTTGAAATTTTGGGAAGCAACATTTACTGTTACGTATTTGGCCTTCAATGGTGAAGTTGAACATGAAGATTATTCATGAAATGCTTGAACGTGGAGAAACTACGTGGCATCCAGATTATAGAAATGGTTGATGAGGAGGTAATACCAATTATTGTTTTTCATAAACTCTTCTATTTATGTAAATAAATTTGATTTGAGTTTGTTTTTGTATTTATATTTGTCTTTTCAATTTTCACGATAACCTTTCTCCGCCACGAATCTGAGTATTTTTCTTTCACTCATTTTATGTGCATATTTGTTCTAAAAAAATTTGTTGAAGAAGTCCTTGAAACAATTGAACTCAATGATATAAAGGATAACTTCGTTGATATAATGGAATCTTTTTCATATCCTTTCATTTTTTGTTGTTTTAACTTTACTTGCATTGGCGAGTTTGCTTATGCGGGTAACTGTTGTGATTTTAACCATGTTATCATCTTTGTTAAATTTGTACTCATTAGCTAACTTGATTCCATTTTAATCAGGTCTTATAACCTGACGTGGTGGTAATAGGAAATCATGATCCTCGCCGTTGTCTTCTTCCAATTCTCCCACTTTATCTTTGCCACTTTGTTTGGATAAACCACAAGTTTAGTTGCTCTTCGGCTGTTGGGAATGAGAGTTTAAGTAAGCTTTTCTTAGCAATCTGTTTCATTCAAGTCTTCTTCCAATTAGTTTTGTTAGATTATTTTACTTTCATGTAATTCCATTTTAGTTTACTATTTTGGAAATTTTGTTCTTACTTTTTATAAGGTTGTTAAGAGTGATCTTACATTGTTGTTTCATTTCTTACAATGTTCCTACTGATCTATAGGTTTCGAGTTTTGAAAATAGTAATTCATGTAGTAGACCTATAGATTGCAGATGGTGGGATGGAAAGGCGTTGTTTCCGTTGTTGCTGGTGATGGGAATGGTAATCTTAAGTATACTGACATGGTTGATGCTTCCGTTGTTGTTGGATCTTACAAAAAGATTGTCTGATAAGAATAAGAGTTTCGTGGAAAAGAAACTCAACAAACTTAAAAGAGAGGTGGAGTTATTCGGACCTCAAGAAGTGGTTAACAAATATCGTGAATATACAGACAACGAAGAAGATTACTTATGATAATTAGATCTTTCATATGTTGACTCACACTACCTTGTTGATATCAAAGATGGATTCGATCAAGTACATTTTCGAGAAGCCCACTCTCTCCGGAAGAATAGCAAGGTGGAAAATGATCTTAATTGAATACGACATACAATATACAACCCAACAAGCAATAAAGGGGAGTGCATTGGATGATCATTTGGCTCATCAGGCCGTGGATGACTAACAATCTATGAGTTTTGAGTTCCCGGATGAGAATATTATGCTGTTGACTGACTATAAAGAACCTGGACCGGATGAAGGACCCAAGGAAGGATCCTGATGGTCTATGTTTTTTGATGGTGCCTCGAACGCACTCGGTAATGGCATTGGCGCCGTGATCATATCTCCTGAGGACTGTCACACTCCTTTCACCGCCCGACTGTGATTCAACTGCACTAATAATATGGCGGAGTTGAAGCTCGCATCATGGGTCTTCGAGCTGCCATTGACCTGAGGATTAAGTTCTTCAGTGTATTCGGGGATTCCGCCTTGGTGATAAGTCAGATCAAAGGCGAGTGGGATACGAAGCACCCGAATCTCATTCCTTACAAAGAGCACGTACTGACATTGCTCCCACACTTTGAGGAAATAACCTTTGAACATTTCCCACGAGATGTCTTCTATGTTCAAAATCCGGTGGGACAACGAAGCTCCCCGAATCACCATTGAAAGGTTGGATGAACCAACACACTGCTGCGAGATAAATGCTGATGAGGTAGCATACAAACCTTGGTTTCACGAAGTCAAAAGGTATCTCGAGGCTCAAGAGTATCTCGAAGGGGCATCTGTCAATGAAAAAAAGTTTCCGAGAAGGTTCGCTGCAAAATTCCTTCTCAATAATGAAATCCTCTATAAACTCAACCATGACTCCACACTATTACGGTGTGTAGACAAGAGCGAAGTAGAGAGGATCATGACTGTTGTACCCCAAAATTTGCCCTCCCATTTCCTCAACATTTTCTCATCACCAGACCTTTGAAGATTAAGATCCAATTAGGGTTTCCTCTGCTCAAGATTTCTCCTTGCACTGGTGGACCCAAATTAGGGTTTGTGTTTGCATAAAGATGTTTTGACCTAAAATGTCTAAGATGACTTTCATGCTTCATATTGGACTCCCAAGTTTATCCATACCAAGTTTCAAGTCTTGATTCCAAGTTTTGCCCAGTCAATTGGACAGATGACCTAGAAATCAGCTGTTTTGGGGAAAAAGTCAACTGTGGCCAATTAACAGTCAAATCTCATGAAAATTTACCCACATCAACATTATGAACTCATATGGACCATTTGATCAAGTTTGGATCACAATTCCATAAGAAATTTGATCAGACCACCAAAAGGGCAAAATGGTCATTTTTAGGGTTTTGACTGTACAAAGGCAATTTTTGACTGTTTGACCTAGCCAATGGCAAACCAAGCTCACATATGGACTCAAGGACCCCATAGAATTGTCTTGACATTCTCAACAAGCTCAAAAGATCCCAAGTACACAAGATTGACAGTTGAATTTCCCAGTCAATTGATCAATTTTGACTGTACACTGAAAAGTCAAACTTTGACTTTTTGGTCAAAATCAAGAGTCAAGATTCATTTTTCATCAAAACATGCCAAATCATGAAACTTGTTCACCAAGAAACCAAGAAATGCAAATTAGGGTTTAAAATGGAATTTTTCATAACTTAGAATTTTTCTAAGTTATGGAAAACCCTAATTTTTTCCCAACTTTGCCCCACTTTTTCACCATGATTCATTTGGATTCAAACAAAAGTCAAAACATGAAAGTTGTAGCTTGTTGCATAATCTACAACTTTGATTCACAAAGTTTTCTCATTTGAAGCTTGTATCTCAAGTTACAAATTTTTGAATAAAGGCACTAAACCATTCTTAACTTAGTGAATTTTTGACCTATTTTGACAAGGTTTTCTACCCCACTTCAAGGCCATTTTCCATACACTTCCACTTGGAATTTCAAATTTCATTTCAAAGATGGATTGTATTACACATTCCAAGCTTTCCAAAATGTCCAAGAACTTCTCAAACAACCTCATGGTTAGGGAGAATCGAATTTCACAATATGGCAAAAACTCACTTTGTTCATGACCAAGTTACATGTCCATAACCTTGCAATTTGAACTCATCATGCTTTAGGCTAGATTACAGGTCCTTAAACCAAGTTACACTCAATAATTTAATGCATATTCTTTGTGCCAAGACCATGTTCTTTGAGCTAAAGCATTGTATGAAGGTTTAATCCATTTTTAGATAAAGCAAAATAGCCATTTTTGAAAAGTCACACTTTATGTCAAATTGAAAATCCAACAAGTACATTGCAAATCTGATTGGCACAAGATTATGAACAAATTACTCTGATCAAGAGAAGCTTTGCAGCAGGATTAGGGGTCCTCTACTGACCTAGAAACACAAGTTGCCTTTGTTTGCTTAAGAGTGAAGAAAAGTGCCATAACACATACCAACTTCCATATCAGCTTACATACACAAGAACAAAGTTATCAAACACATTCCACACAACACAACCAAGCTAATACACGAGCCCTTAGCCTTCAAAACACTCTCCATCTCAGAATCACTCTCAAACTGCAAAAATAGGGCAGGCCCTGCAGTTTGAGTGCTATCTCTCATTTCTCTTGAGCTCTCTTGCCCAAATCAGTTCACATACCTTCCATACCATCTATGCAAGCTAACCAAAAGCAAAGGCACGACCTGTAATCACTCTAACCACTTCCACCATTTTCACATTTCTGATTTGCAGGTGAAGTTCTCTAGCTCGATTCAGAATCTTTCAAGACAAAGTAAACATTGGAATAGCATCCCTGGACCTCAAGGAAGCTTTTCCAATCATCACCTTGCACTGAAAGCTCCTACATTGCAAGATAGAACTTCAGCTGAACAGGTATCTTGGTGAACTCGTATCTCTTATTATGCATCATTAGCTTTAAGTTTGTGAATAAACAAGGTTCTACTCATGCCACTGAACATGTACATGTTTTTACTTTTCATTTCTTTTGCTTGAGTTGTGAGAATTTGGAGTTTGAAAATGGCAGAAAAACTAGGTTAGGATTTGGGGGAGGAGAAATTCTCCCTCATCTTAGAGAGTTAGATCAAGTTATGCATATGGTTAGAATCGTCTCTTCATGTCGAACATTTTTTATGTTATGAGTTTTTGTTAAAAAGCCAGGAATCAGGAGTTAAGGATTGATGAAGGAAGGCGCGCATTTTTGAATTGTTTGGTCTGAAGGTTGAAGACAACCATTTTCTGGGCTGGGCCTGTTTTATTATTCCTTTTTGCACCATACATTTACTTTTGCACCCCCTGAGCCCATTTGCTTCATTTTTAATATTTTTTGACTTTTTCTTTTTTTAACTGATTCATTTATTTTTTTTCAGCATATTAAAAATATAAAAATATTTTTCCCATCATTTTTTGAATTTATTAAGTATTTATTTGATTGTTTTATACATAAATAAGTAAATATACATATATACTTTTTGTTTAAAATATTAAGATAATACAAATATATTTTTTATGCACTTTTATTTTGTTTTTACTTCCTGAAAATATTTTGTATAAAAAATACCCTTTTTATTTTTATATTAAATATTATTATTTTTTATATATAATACATATTTAGAACTTAATACATAAATATATATATTTATTAATATACTTAGAATAAAATACTAAAAATATACATATTTTATTTTATTAATATTAAACACTAAAAAAATCATTTTTACAAATATATCTCTTTTCTTATTTTATTTTTGTATAAATAATAAATATTGCATATATTAATAAATAATACCTTTGAATTAGGGTTTTTGCCCTAAATTCAAAAATACTCCAAAAATAATATTTTTTATTATTATTTTTTTCTTTTTATTTTACATCAATAATCCTTTTTTTTTATACATATAAAAAACCATTTTTTCCATTCTTGCATATTTGTTCTATTTTTATTTTATTTATGCAATTAAGTTACCTTGCAAATATTCAATATTGATGTAATAGCCTAGATTCAATTTCCTGTCTAAATACCTCCCCATTTGAAACATCGTACCCCCTCCCTATATTATTGTGTTGTAATAGCGTAGGAATTTAAATTTCGCACTTTATCGCTTTCTAAAATACAATGCTAGAATTAGGGTTTATATGCGAATAAAAAATGAACAAAATAGTTGGACCTAATATAAGACAAACAAGCATGAAAATGGACACACAAATCACACTTGCACCCCCTAGGGTATTCCACTTGTTGCCTTTCAAAAATGGGCCATATTGCATGTTAGGTCTCTTTGGGCAAAACAAACAAATTGAATGATCATAGTCCCTCGATAACACTTTTCAAAACAAACAAAAACAAATGATCAAGTCCCTTAAAGGAAATGCCCAAAGATACTTAACACCGTTGCAATTATGGTCTAAACGATGACCCGCTCCCGTCCCTTTCACATCCTAACATGAGATTGTCCACCAAATACAATGGTGGAACAAACTCATTAAAAGGGTTAAAACATAGCAATAAACTTTGAGAAATTTAGGAGTAGATAACCTCTTAGTTACTTGAATCAAACTTGCAAAAACAAAACACTTGCCTATTTTCTAAACCACACATCACTACACTTTCAAAACAACTTTCAAAAAACAAATGAAAACCTTTTCAAAAGACATACATCTTTGTATACATCCCCACATGGATCATTACAAAGGTTGCCACCACATTGGCTTCTTTTCAAAACATTTTCAAACCCACACATACAAGCACCATTTAAAACAATTGAAAACAAAAGGCAAGTGATCTAAGCAAGTAACTAAGAGCCCATGGATAACCATGGATAGAAAGGGTGCTAATACCTTCCCTTTCTTTAATCTACTCCCCGAACCCGAGAAAACATCTCAAAAGGTTTTTGCTGTGCTTTTTAACCTTTCCTTAGGATAAAATAAAAAGTCGGTGGCG